TTTTCAGTTTGAACTTGTCGGCTTCTACACGCTTGTGAGCCATTTATCTAAGATAAATTTCTCTCTCTCTCTCTTTCTCTCTCTATAAATATATATATATATACTTTGCTGGTTTTTGTGTTTCTCTAGAGAACCCAATCCAACACAGCTGGCGAGAATGTGGAGAGATTGGATTTCCATACACTTCTGGTGGAACTGTCAAATGATACAACCACTATGTAAAGCAGTATAAAGATTCCTTAAAAAGTTGCAATGAGAAATACCATTTGATCCAGCAATCTCATTACTAGAATTACTAGATATATATTCTAAAGAAGTGAGAGCCAGGATAAGAACAGATAAATGCACACCCATGTTCACTGCAGCACTATTTACAATAGCAAAAACATGGACACAACCTAGGTACTTATCAACAGAAGAATGGATAACCAAACTATGGTACATACTCACAATGGAATATTACACAACCCTAAAGAATAATGTAGAATCTGCAAAATACTGCATAACATGGATGAACTTGGAGGATATTACGCCAAGTGAAATAAGTCAATCACAGAAGGACAAATATTGTATTAGTTCATTAGTGTAGAAAGTCAAAGAAAGGTTATATTATGGAAGGAAACTTTTTTTGTCGGTTCTCAGGGATGAAAGGGGAGGGGAGGGAACACTGAAAAAAAAATCAAAAATCAATTTAAAAAAAAAGAATTATCTTAAAAAATAAATTTTCTAGAAAATATTACTAAGTAAAAATGGCATTAGCCATCCCATTAATAACTCAGCATTTTTGATAAAGAACTTCAAGAGGCTTAAGCTCTGAATCCAAAGAAAGCATTCTAAGGAAGTAGCTTTTAACTAACAGAATAATTAATCCCATCCCAACCCCCAGAAATATTTACAAATTGTCAAAATGGATCAGGCAGTACTACTAGTGCTTTCTGGGCACAGCCAAGGATGCTAATTTCCTGTAATGCCAATGGCAACCTTACTAAGAAACACTGCTCTAGTTGGCTAGACATTTTGGTCTAGATAGCTGGCTGGAGATAAGGATATATACAAGGAGGTGTGCCTTCTAAAATTCCTTAAGTCATTCCATGCTGGATGACTGCCTTGAAAGGTTTGCCCTCTTTGTTGTGTAATTATATAAAGTTACTCTTAAAACAAAAGAAACCACTGTCGTCAAGTCAATTCAGACTCCTAGTGAGAATAGTTCTAGTGGGGCAGAACAGAACTGCCCCCAAGGAGCTATGGTGGCTTAGTGCCTAAGGCATTTGACTGCTAACCAGAGTCTTGCGGTTCAAACCCACTAGCCACTCCTCAGAAGGAAGATTTGAGCAATGTACTTCCGTAGTGATACCACCTCAGAAACTGAAGGTGGGGTCGCTATGAGTCGGATCTCACTCAATGGCAGTGCGTTGCACTGTTTTGCGTTACAGGGTTTCCAAGACTGTAAATCTTTATGGAAGGAGACTGCCTCATCTTTCTACCACAGGTCAGCTAGTGAATTCAAACTACTGACCTTTTGGTTAGTAGCCCAATGCTTTAACCACAGCATCACCACTTCTAAATACCTGGTAGAATTTTTTAAAAAAAAATTTATCTCCTCACTTTCCACATAGGCATTTTTAAACCATCTGATACTGGGTAGATATTTTTTTTTCCCTTTTAATGTCATTTTAAGTTACAGATAGATCCTACATTTCTTAAAGATTGTTACATTTTTTGCTTAGAGAACTTATAAAATATGAGTGAAGTTAAGCATATCCTTTTCAAGACTGCCTCAAAAAACAGTTCTATCAATATGTAAAGAATCAAGATGTTGCTCTTGCCTAGATGTAAACAGACTAACCTCAAATAGACTAGCTGTGAGTTCTTCCAACTCCTGTCCAAGTTGATCTCGCACTTTAGAAAGCCTCTCACATTCTTCATCTTTTAACTTCAGCTCCTGTGAAAAATTGATACATTTACTTTGGATTTCCACACTTCAAAGTTTTAATCAACAGACTATTTAATTTTTACTAATAAAATTACAAAATATAAACACTGTTCTCCTCCTACAATATTCACATTGAAAATGCTACCTAGCACGTGCTTTATGGAAGACTGTCAGGAAAATAAAAAATTACAAATAATTCCAACTAACATATTAAATTTTCCCATTTATTTCATCAAGCATCCAAAGATTAAATATGTAACATATATTAAATGGAAAAATAAACAATAAAATAACTTCATTCTATTTTTCCCCTTCACTTTTATCTAAATATACCCACCAAATAAGGAATTTCTTCAAATATGTTTATTTAATTTCAGTAACTATTCAGTGTTTTGTTTCTTATTTACTCTAAAAATGATTTACTTATAGATCATTTCACAAACAATACTGCTATTAATCTTAATTTCTGTTAGGAGCGTATACCTATTTAACACTGCAACCATAGGTAAATGATGCATGTCAGCATTTAAAATATAGTTAATGACAAAAATCACATGCTATGTTTAAACCTCTGTAACAGGTCACAAATAGATGTAAAAAATTTCTTTAGAAAGATGTTAAAAGTACATGATTTTATATTTTTAAAAGTAGGCTTAAATTATCTTTCAAGCTTATAAAAAGTTCAAAATCCCTAAACACTACTCACAATTACATTAAAAAAATAATTGGTTAATCATGATGAATAGTTTTTGTCTAATTTTGTCATGGTGAAAATATACATAAAACATATGCATCTCAGTAATTTCTACATGTACAATTTAGTAACACTGATTACATTCTTCAAGTAGTACAACCATTCTCCATATCCTTTTCCAAATCATTCCACCACAACTAACATGAACACAACGCTGAATAGTTTTTGAATCCCCAAAGACAATGCCTGAAAATCAAATACAGGTAGCCCCCAGGTTACAAACAAAATACATTCCTAAGTGTGTTTTTACTTGTAGGTAAGTAGAACAGGTGCCTTCAATTCTTATTCAGCCATACGTTAACTCAAGAAAAGGCTCGAAGCCTTTTCCGTAATTTAAAAGCTGCACGAGCAGCAAGTGAAGGTGATTGTGATGAAGAACCTGTTGTGAGTATTCATTCCATAGTTTTAAAGTGATGGCAAATTTATGTAACATTAGAGAGCAACTACAGACTTCTGTAACCCAGAAATTTACTGTATTACTCACTGCCACCTAGTGGATTCCAACTCAAAGCGACCCCCACTGGGTTTCCAAAGCTGTAAATCTTACAGAAGTAAATTCTCCCATTTTCCTTCCATGGAGCAGCTGGTGGGTCTGAATGCCAACCTTTTGGTTAGCAAATGCCTTAGGCACAAATTTACTATATAACCACTAGGATATCAGAAAAACTCAGTGACCCAAAGATGACATCTTGAACAGAACTAAGGAAAAGAGTATCTCCACAAATCTTGGAATATGGGAAAGTATGGCTCAACTACCAACGATGAACTATCATCAGCTGTACAGAAGGAAGCGGCAGAAAGTGAAAGGGGTCTACTGTTGTACCCTACAAGACTCAGAACCCAGAGTGGAAACTGGAAGAATAAAGTGATGAAAAAAGGAAATGTTTTCAAAGGCTACAAGGTGCAGGTCAGCACAAAAACCTGTGTATGTATGTAGTCAAGGCAGCAGCCACAGTGCTATAAAGCTCTGAACGCTTGAGAAACTCTGAAGTATCCAGCAAAGAGCCCCTTTCAGGACAGACTCACCTAAACGGAGAAAGTCTTGCAATCTGAAACCAAATTCAGCAGGACACAAACAATGGAGATGGGGAGAAAGAAGGTTCCAGTGGGGGTGGGGGTGGGGGGCATGGTTCCAAAGGCAACAGATTCCAGAAAGAACTAAGAACAAAACACATTACCTCAAAATGGAATAAGCCTGCAAAGGGCTCAGAAACACTGGGTTAGAGGAAAAAACCTCCTCAAACGTACCTCAGCTCTAAAAGACAGAAGTGCCTACACAGATACACCAAATTTGAGCCTTCCCAATAACAACAGAGGAGAAAGTCCTTGAAACTAAAACTGAAAAAGTTATCTTGGACTTATCCTGTCCCCTTTACCCCTCTAATAGTACAACTCATTTAAACATGGGAAATGAAAAAGTAATATGTAAAGTGGTCACAGGAAAAAAGATAAACACAAAACCAAGTCACCTATAAGGGAAAGAAAATCAGAACGGAATTCAATTTCAACAGCAACATCTTATACTAGAATAAAATGGAGTTACACTTTTAGGATTCTCAAAGAGAAAAAAGAAAAAAAAAAAGCTGACAATTTTATATTCACCCAGGCATCCTTCAAGTATAAAGACTACAGACAAAGAGTTTTAAACCTGCAAGACCTTAGAGAATCTCTCTCCCATAAGCCTGCTTGATTGAGAATGAGTTTTAGATAACCAAGAAATAATTGGAGAAGCTTTAACATTAAAGACTAAGTAGCAAATACATATAACTGTACAACTACAACTAAGCAGGCTTTGGCAATGTAAAGCTAACACACCAGTAGGAAGATGAGACTAGGTTCACTAACTACTTAACTATTAACTGTGAGAAAAGGGATACTAACTGGGGATCACAAATCAATTAGTATAAACCTAAACATACTTAAGACCTCAGAAATTAAAATTAAGATGATGCAACTAAAATTAAAATGATAAAGGAGAAGGGAAGAAACAGTTACTTGGTAATCTTAGTACTGCATATGGCAGGGAACAAAGGCAGCAACTAAAGAAGGGCTAGAAATATATACAAGTTATCTCTGATTAAAGGTAACAACTAGAATGAAAATCAAACCTTCCCAAATACTAAAAAGAATAAAAAGGGGACACTCTTAGTGAAAAGATTTGTATACACACACAGAAAACATATTTGAAAGCCACGTGACAACAGCCCAAACACAGCTCTTTTATCAATTAATATGGGCATAACTCGCCTATTAAAAGAAAATTATTTTAAAATTGCTCCATACAAGAGACATACCTAAAACAAAGTGATTCAGACAGACTAAAAGGATGGGCTGATGTATACCACACAATACAATACACATAAAACAGGCATCTCAAACTTGGTATCAGACTAGGTAGAATACAGAGCAAAATCATTAAAGAAAAGGAAGCCTCATAATGCTAAAGACTACAACACACAATAAAAACTTTAAAATATTCCCCCAAACCACAGAAGTAGACCTAGACAAATAGAAAGACATGCCATGCTTCTGGATAGAAAGGCATCATAAAGATGCCTATTCTCCCTGAGTTAATTTACAAATGCAAACACGCATAAATTTAATGCCAAGTCCTTTCAAACACTACAATTTCAGAACTTTATAAACAATTTTAAAGCTAAATTCATTCTTAATTTCCTACGAGGTAGAAAAGGTGGTAAGCCCTCAGGATACAAAATCAATTAAGTTAACTGTCCCCCTGAGAAGTTTCCAACTATTAGAATACTACTTAAATCATTCATGAAGGCAAAATTCTTGAATAATTCCTGTGGTAGTTAAGGTTGTGTGTCAACTTGGCTGAGCTTGGTGAGTGGCTAGGGCAGCTGGTGGTAGTTACTCCCCAAGATGACACCGGCAATCAACTCCATGGTGGGATCTACCACAAGCAGCAAAGTAGCTGCTTTAGGAATGTGGTCTGCTGCCCATATATAAGCAGTTTGGGATTGGTCTCTAGCCTTTTGGCATGCTTGAACCCAGTATGTAGCCAAGTTATTGTCCAACAGCCTGCCATGCCTTGCTGATCTTGGGACTTCATCTGGACTTGAATTACTGGCCTGCCATGTTGTTTGGTAACACTGGGACTGTGCCTTTTTACTTACTGTTTTAGTTACCTAGTGCCTCTAACAGAAATATATCACAAATGGGTTGGCCTTAACAAACAGGAGTTTATTCTCACAATTTGGAGGCTTTAAGTCCAAGTTCAAGGCGCCAGGCTCTAGGGGCTGGGTGAAAGCCCCTCAAACTTGGGCTTCAGCTCTGCCTCCTGCTCCTGGCCCACTGAAGCTAGAAGCTTTTCTTCCCTCAGACAGCTGCTGGCTGCTGAGACTGACAAGCCCAAGGTTGACATGTAAAAAGGCACAGTCCCGATGTTACCAAACCACACAGTAGGCCCTTAGTTTAAGTCCATTGAAAGTTCCAAGGTCAGCAGAGCACGGCAGACTGCTGAAAAACGACACGGCTACACACAGGGTTCAAGTGTACCATTAGCTAGAGACCACTCCAAAAGCTGTTTTTTATATACGGGAAGCAGACCACATACCCAAAGCAGCTACTCGGCTGCTCCAACAGATTCCACCGTGAAGTTAATTACCAATCTCACCTTGGGGAATAACTACATTCAGCTGCCCAGCCACTCAACCAGGACCAGCAAAGTTGACATGCAAACTTAACCACACTTGTCAACCTTGGGCTTGTCAGTTTCAGCAGCCACCAGCTGTCAGAGTGAAGAAAAGCCTCCAGCTTCAGTGGGCCAGGAGCAGGAGGCAAAGCTGAAGCCCAAGGTTGAGGGGCTTTCACCCAGCCCCTAGAGGCTGGCACTCTGAACTTGGATTTAAAGCTTCCAAAACTCTAAGAGAATAAATTCCTGTTTGTTAAAGCCATCCCATTTATGGTATATTTGTTAGAGCAGGACTAGGTAACCAAAACAGGTCCCTACTACCTATCAAAGTGGCATAAATCTCTTCCTATTACAGACCCCCTAAAACATGAAGCAATTCAAACCCACCAGCCACTCCTCAGAAGGAAGATGGGGCAATCTACTTCCACAGCGATACCGCCTCAGAAATCCGAGGAGGGGTCACTATGAGTCGGATACGACTCGATGGCAGTGACTGAAAGTGAGAAAACATGTGCTCAACTTCTCCTCAGAATTGTTTTCTTAATCCATACCTTTAAGCTTGTCATTCCTCACTCATTCCCCAATTTCATCTGATACATC